ACCATCCAGTCCAGGAACCCACAGGGATCACCCAGTCCAGGAACCCACAGGGATCACCCAGTCCAGGAACCCACAGGGATCACCCAGTCCAGGAACCCACAGGGACCATCCAGTCCAGCTCCTGGCCCTGCCCAGGACACCCCAACAATCCCGCCCTGTCCCTGAGAGGATCATCCAAACCCTCCTTGGGCTCTGTCAGCCTTGGGGCTGTGCCCACTGCCCTGGGGAGCCTGGTCAGTGCCCAGCCACCCTCTGGGGGAAGAGCCTTTTCCTGAGATCCAACCTGACCCTGCCCTGACACAGCTCCAGGCCATTCCTGGGGTCCTGTCCCCGCTCAGCAGAGCACAGAAATCGATGCCTGACGTTCAGCAGCTCAAAAATCTCTCTTCCAGGCGCCACAGCAGCACACCCAGGATGTCCATGGAGATAACTTTCCTGGGCACGGGCTCGGCATACCCCTCTCCCACCAGAGGGGCGTCGGCGCTGGTGCTTCGCCGGGACGGGGAGTGCTGGCTCTTCGACTGCGGGGAGGGGACCCAGACACAGCTCATGAGGAGCCACCTCAGGGCAGGTCTGTGCTGCCGAAAGGCGGTTTTTTGGGGTTTTTTTTGGTGAGGGGGAAAAGTTTGGAGCGACCCAAACGAAATGCCTCGTCCTCGAGGTGTTTGGACACAGGCCAAGCGCGTCTGAAGGGGCTGCCCCGCCGCTGAACCTGCTGGGCAGCGACCACGACCCGTGTTCCAGAACCAGACCCTCCCGCTTTGATTTCTGGGGCTCTGTGATTCCGAGGGTGGGAATCATGGACCGGCTTTGAGCCGGAGCAAAGTCTGTTGTTCGTGCGGAGGCAGCTCCGGGCAGAACCCGCCGTGTGCCTTCCCTGCGGGCAAACGTTGAGCTTTTTTTTCCCTTCCGAGCGAGGCTGTTGCGTGTCTGTGGTGACTTTTATGGCTTGGCAGATAAATTGGGGACGGGACCCGCCTGCAGTCCCCGTGCCTTCACAGCCTGCGGTGGCAGGAGCCGACTCCTGGCTGCTGAGTAATGAAGATGAATCCTCAAGTCGCAGGCAGAAATCCGGGCTCCTGCTCCTCCAAAACACGAAGGGGATTTAGTGGCAGGTGGATGGACTAATTTTTACTAAGTTTGCTGGGTTTTTTATACTAGATTTTGCTAAATTTAATTTTACCAAACCAAAAGAAGGAGGTCCTCCTGCCCTTCCTCTCGCTTTAGTTCTGACAAGTGCTGGGGGAGATGTCTTGCCCTGTGGAGGTGGGAACTGATTAAAGAACGTGTGCCTGCAACGAGAGAAAATTCTGGGCTTTTTTAACCCAGCAAGGGGGGCAGGGCCCCAGCACCTGGGGGCTGGAGTGAGGCAGCTCGGACACGAAGCAAAGCCCGGGTGTTACCCCTCTGGTTTGGGGTTTTATTTCTTAAACGCCGGTTTTGTTTTAATTTTAAAAATCAAATTAACTTTAAAATTCAATCGAAACCCCCTTGCCCGAGCGGTGATTATTTCTGAGTCGTTGAACCTTGTTTGTTTATCTTCCCGTCTTTTTCTCCCTTTTTTTGTTTTATCTCTTCCTGCTGTTCCAACCCAACAGGCAGAATCACCAAGATTTTCATAACCCACCTCCACGGCGACCACTTTTTCGGGCTCCCCGGCCTGCTGTGCACGATCAGCCTGCAGAGCAGCCCCGACCCAAACAAGCCACCCGTGGATATTTACGGGCCCTTAGGGCTGAGGAGCTTCCTGTGGCGGAGCCTGGAGCTGTCCCACTCCCAGCTCCTCTTTCCCTACGCCGTCCACGAGCTGGTGCCCACGCGGGACCAGTGCCCCGCGGAGGAATTCAGGGACTTCTCGCACTTGGACAGGGGTGAGGTTCCTCCCCAGGGCCCTGGAGGGAGAATACTGCGCCTGGACCCGGGAGAGGGCTCCTACTTGCTGGAGGAGGACGAGCAGCTGGTGCTGAGGGCGTTCCGCCTCTTTCACCGCGTCCCTTCCTTCGGCTTCGTGCTGGAGGAGAAGCCCCGGCCCGGGAGGCTCAACGTGCAGAAACTGAAAGACCTTGGTAACTACTTCGACTTATCTTTCCTCTTTTTTTTTTTTTTTAATGTTTTGTTTGTTTGTTTGGTTGGTTTTGTGTTTTTTTTAATCCCCAGTTTCTTGCATTCAAGCGCGACTCTTGGTTTTCGGCAAGGGGTGACGCGGCCGGGTTTCCTGGCAGCTGAAATCTTTTTGTGACCACCCCTTCCTAGGGGGTTCTTAGCAGCAGGCAGGAGCTGCTGTCCCGTCTCCATAATCTCTTTTAATTCAGTTTTCCATTACGGGCATTATAATGCTCCGTAGCCATGCAGGGTTCTGAATGGGCGTGTGACACTAACGCCAATTAATGCTGCCTTAATTTCCCGTTTTCACAATGGGAAGAGCAAGCAAGTTCAGGGGACGAAGTTTAAAAAGCTCGAGGTGGCTCTCAGTAAAATGTATGGCCAGTGTATTTGCATGGCTTTGTTGGCTTTAGAGAGAAAAATATAGCTTTTTTTTTTTTTTTTATAGTTGCCCAGAGAAGCTGTGGCTGCCCCACCCCTGGAAGTGTCCAAGGCCACGTTGGACAGGGCTTGGAGCAACCTGGGCTAGTGGAAGGTGTCCCTGCCCATGACCCTTAAAACCCCTTCTGACTCAAACCATGCCATGTTTCTGTGGTTTTCTTCAAGCAAGCTTCCCGCTAATGTGACGGGCTCTTTATTTGTACAAAAAACGTGAAATATCAGTTGATTTTTTATATACTGACGCCGTGTTTTTTTTCAGCGAGCCAGCTCTACATGTAGCACGTTCCAAGTGATCTTTGTTTAAACCTGACACGCCATATACTTACAGTGTAGCGAGTGTGATTACTTATTATTATTATTGTTATTACTCACGGGCTCTTTTTCGCCTTTCCGTCTGCCAGGAGTTCAGCCGGGCCCTCTGTACGGGAAGCTGAAGGGCGGGGCCGCAGTCGTGCTGGAAAACGGAGTGAGGATCTCTCCCTCCGAGGTGCTGGAAGAGCCCATTCCCGGCAGGAAGGTGTGCATCCTGGGGGACTGCTCGGGGGCGCCGGGGGACGAGGCCCCGCGGCTCTGCCGCGACGCCGACTTGCTGGTGCACGAGGCCACGCTGGACGACACCCAGCAGGAGAAGGCCAGGGAGCACGGGCACAGCACCCCCGGGATGGCGTCGGGTTTTGCCAGGCTGTGCCGGGCCAGGAGGCTGGTTTTGACCCACTTCAGCCAGAGGTACAAGCCGGCTGGCCAGGCAGGGGAGGGGGACGCGGACGTGGCCGAGCTGAGGAGGCAGGCGGAGTCCGTGCTGGGGGGACAGGAGGTGACACTGGCTGAGGACTTCATGACAATAGAGATCCCCATGAAGAAGGGAAAAACAGCAGCGTTGGCCAGCCCTGAGTGAAGGCACAGAGCCGGGGTGGTGTTGGACAGCGCTTAAAGATAACTGTTGGGGGCCTGGTGAGCAAATTCTCTTCCCCTGGAGCGCAGAGAGATCGGTCCAGAGCGCCGGGTGCACTTAGTGCTGCTGCTGTAAAGCAAAGGAAGAAGGATGCTCAGGCATCTGGAGCTGGAATATATTCATGAGGGGTGGTTTTGGACACCTGGCCTCCCCAGATGGCTCGAGCCTTCACAGCCCGGGAGCTTTCCTTGGAGATTCCCTGGAGCGCAGCTCTGGATCGTCGTTTGGCTTTCACACACCCCTCCAGGAAGGTTTGTGCTCTGCAGAGCAGTTTCAGCCATCCTGCCTCCTGAGAGCTTTCGAACAACATCCATTTCAAACTCGCACACAGTGTTTTGTGACTGTTCACCCAGTTTCTGTGTGAGAGGGCGCTGAGTTTAATAAAGGGTCGAGAGCTCTGCCAAGTGGGTGTTGCTGTGCTCAAGTGGAGGAGCCCTTCTGATTCTCGTGAAGTCTCTGCGCGTGAAGTCTCCTCATAAATAAACACAGTTTAGGCTCCCTGTCAGAAGCGAGTTACTCTTAACAGTTTGGTTCACTTAAAGCCGGGAAGCGCCAGCCCTGGTTCATTTAAAGCCGGGAAGCGCCAGCCCTAAATCGGCGCACCCATTCATCCCCCAGCGCCAGTGAGGTTTTGGAAGCGTGCTCTGGAAGTCTTTAAGGCAGATGGCAAGCAGTCTTCCTTGAAGTGTTCCCTCCGAGTGGTCTTTCAAGGGTAAATCGCCCCGATAAAGGCCCGTTTGTGTTTGCAGAAATACCCCCCGTGGGAGGAGTTTCACCTTGGTGCGGCTCAGCCTTGTTTTTCTGCAGCGACTTTGTTCTTTCCGTGAAGGGACACACAGGCCCGGCTTTTATCTCCTTTTCTTCCACGCCTCGAAGTGGCAGTTTGGGAGTTTCCCGGGTTTTATCTCGATTCGGTGGTCGAAATTAAAAATTATGTGGTTTCGAAAAAAAACCCCAGCCTAAATATCCCCCGGGATGTTTATCTCCTTGTGGCTTTCTTATCAACACTGAAAACCCCGGCGGGTTTTTAAGTCCAGCTGCTACAACCTGTGCCTGTGCTTCTGCTGCTTTAATTGAGCAACAGCCTTCAAAGGAGAAAAAACAAGAAGGAGCGTGATTTCCTAGTGTTTGGCTGAAAGGATCGAGCTGAATTCTGTGTGTTACCCACCCCCCGTCCTTCAAACGGGCTCCGTCCCACGTGTGGTTGCGGTAAATCCGAACCCAGTCACACCGACGTTAATATTTTTTCTGCTTCAAATGCAGAGGTGGGGGAGTCTTTGATTCCTTAAAAAAAAAAAAATAAATAAAAAATAACACCGGGAAGGGGTGCAAGCTTGGGGAACACGACTTCTGGGGCGGAAACTTGCTGATTTCTGCGACTTTCCCCCCCAAAAAACGGCATAAGGCAGGCAGAGCCCGTACGTGGCGGATTGACGCGTTCTTTCTCCTGGTGAACTGTGGTTTTTTTTCTCTTTCCTGTGATACGGGCGTTTCGCAGGGTGAAGGGATAACTTCGTTACCCTCACCCGCCCTGAGAAGGAAAGCTGCAAAGCTGCCTGGTTCTGTACCTGAGGCGCAGATTAGCGCTGTGTGCTGTCGTTTTCACGGGTCGTTCCGAGGGGTACATTCGGTGCTGGAGTTACGCGAAAATCCTGCATTTTCGACTTAATGTATTTTGGCGTCTGAAATCGAGTTACGTTTGTCTCTCTGCTGGCAGACCCATGTGTCTTCGCCTGCCGTGGTCCTCCCTCCTGTGTCTGGGTACTAAATTAACTTCATAAATCCGACTGCTAATGAAACCCGAATTAAATTAATGGGAACATGTGTGTGCCGGTAAAGGACTGAAAAGTTTGGACCGTAAATTGCCCGTTTTCTGGATGAGTTTATCTTTCCATTAATCACCTGTTAATTACCAGAGAACGAAATTCCTTTGCATTAAAACGTATCTGCCTGAGGGTTTCAGCTGGCAGCAGATAAGGACCCTGATCTGGTCCTGCAGGGACCGTGGGGGTGTTTTAACGAGTGATGGGTATGTAAATGAAGATTTATTTTTTTTGTTTTAGATTTTTTTTTTCTCCCTTTAGCTTCGGAAAACTTTATTTTAAACATTCTTCTGCTTTCCCGAAAGAGTTCCCCTAAGCTTAGTTCCTTTTATCAACTGGTGCCAACGGGGGGTCTCGTTAAAACTGCAAAATAAGCTTTTTATGTTGCGGGGAAGAGAGAAAGAGGGAGGAAACACGACGTGAGGAGTTTTGTAACAGCAGAGATGTTCCTCGCCCGAGTGGATGGGGGGGGGGCTGATCAGAGGGTGAATCTCCCTCCTGCTGAGGTCTGATGAGCCTGCAAAAAAAAAAAAAAAAAAAAAGGTTGAGAAATAAGTTTCTCACGCCACAGAAGTGTTTGGCTGCTCGAGCGTGGTGTGGTCTGTGTCGAGGACGGAGAGCTGGGGCTCGAGCCTGGGCTCTGAATCCAGCTGGGAGAAAGAACTGATGATGGTGATTCAGCCTTTGGTATCAGCCTCTCCCCGTGGCCCACGCTGGGACTCTTGCTCTGTCAATGCAGAAGAAATGAGATCTTCGTTTGGAAGCATTTTAAATTTCTGTTCTCTTTTTTTTTTTTTTTTTCTACACGGAGTTTTAAAAGAATTTGCTCTCATCGAATTATTGTTCGTTTACGTGGAAAAGCACATTAATTATTGACGTTGGGCGGTTTAATTCCAGGAGTCTGATTTTCTGGCGGGGTGGTAGGACTGGTCCAGGCCTCGGTGGTTTGGCACAGAGTCACCGGAGCAACTTAATGCGTTTGGTTTTTTGTTTTTTTTTTTTTAATTATTAATGTAAAACACGCCGGTTGGGATCTCGAGGCAGAACCGAGTTGCAGGAACTTGGCCGAAGCAACATTTCGGGGAGGGGAGCAGGGGTGGGCGGATGCTGAGCGACAACTGATCCTGCTAGTTACCAGCATTTGACACTGGAGGGGTGCTGGGAGTCCCAAGGTGGAGAAAGGCCCCGTTTTGTTGGACGTGGTGCCTCTGCAGCCTTTCGAAATCACATCGGTGGCCCACAGAGGTCCTTCCCAGGACTGGCTGTTGCTGGAGTTGTTTGGCTTTGGATAAATACCGAGGCAGCAATATTTATGCAAAACACCCTCCAAGGTCGGTCTTCTCCTCCTGTGGTGGGGTTCTCCGTGTGTCCCCAGGAGCCACTGGGAACGCCACGCTGGGATTCCGGGACGCTGGAGACCGGCACTGGCACCCACCAGTAAATTGTAAATTGTTTGGCGGTTCGGGCTTTTTTTTTTTTTTTTTTTTTAAATAATTTTTAACCTCGGAGAGGGGAGGGGAAGTGCTGGTGTGTGACTTGTCTGATGTGGGTTCGCTGTGCTGCGATCCACGAGTCCCGCACGGGGCACTCTCCCCGTCGAGCCGGAGCTCTCGTCCACCACCCATAATTCCTCAAAAACTCCAAGAAACAGATGATTTGCAACGCGCTCGGCAAATCCCGGTGTGGAGAGGCTTCAGTTGCATCTACCCAAGAAAAGAGGACAAATAACAGCAGCATTTGGTATCGCTTCTCATCACTAAGATCTCCTTCGGGACGTGCAAGTGACTATAAACGGCTGAATGGTGCGAGCAGGAGATTTTGGTAGGGCAGCACAGCAGTTTTTTTTAAATCTCTGCCATCCTTGGTCCTTGTCAGAGTGACAGCACACACCAGCACCGTGCCAGAAATGCCGTGCATTTAGAAAAAACACGCTGAGTTTTGCAGTGGATAAGGTATTTCGGACATTTTTCACCTTCTCTTTTGTGTTCTAACGGTGGCTCAGCGCAGCAAAGGCAGAGGGGTGCAACCCTCTAGTTCTGGAAGTATTAATCTTTTCCTTTTCAGCTGAGTTCCTCTGGAGAGTTCGCCTTTGCTGGGTGAGGTGGCGTGGAAAGGGAAAGCAGCTGCATTTACAGCCCGGTGTGCTTGTTGGGGTTGGGTTTGTGGGGCTCTGACCCTTTGCTGGTGGCACTGGCAGGGCTGTGAGTTTGTTGGGATTGCCGGTCTCTCAATTCCTGGGAGTCCAACCGTGCCCTGGGCTGATCCCACAGCGTGGGCAGCAGGGCAGGGGGGGATTCTGAGGGGGGATTCTGAGGCGAGACCCCCCTGCAGAGCTGCCTCCAGCCCTGGGAACAACAGCACAGGGACGTGGAGCTGCTGGAGAGAGTCCAGAGGAGGCCATGGAGATGCTCCAAGGGCTGGAGCCCCTCTGCTCTGGAGCCAGGCTGGGGGAGCTGGGGGGGTTCCCCTGGAGAAGAGAAGGATCCAGGGAGACCTGAGAGCCCCTTCCAGGGCCTAAAGGGGCTCCAGGAGAGCTGGAGAGGGACTGGGGACAAGGGATGGAGGGACAGGACAAGGGGGAATGGCTTCCCACTGCCAGAGGGCAGGGTCAGATGGGATATTGGGAAGGGATTGTTGTCTGTGAGGGAGGTGAGGCCCTGGCACAGGTTGCCCAGAGAAGCTGTGGCTGGATCCCTGGAAGTGTCCCAGGCCAAGTTGGACAGGGCTTGGAGCAGCCTGGGACAGTGGGAGGTGTCCCTGCCCATGGCAGGGGGTGGGGCTGGATGAGCCTTAATGCCCCTTCCATCCCAGAGCAATGTGTAATTCTACTGCTTGTGAGATTTTGCACGTGTAGGGGGTTTCACTTGTGGGTCTTTGTGTGTTTCTCGGGACCGTGTTTGCGGGGCTCAGCACCCACGGGCCTTGTGTACAGGGGCTGCCCTCACGGCCCCAGGGACTGTCCCTTGTGCTGGCCCTGCTGAGGCACCTCCAGTGCTGGGGCAGTTCTGGGACCCTCGGACAAGAGAGACACTGAGGGGCTGGAGCGTGTGCAGGGAAGGGAACGGAGCTGGGAAGGGGCTGGAGCAGCAGGAGCGTCTGAGGGAGCTGGGGGGGCTCAGCCTGGAGAAAAGGAGGCTCAGGGGGGACCTGATGGATACAGGGGAGAATTGGGGTCTGCTGCCAGGGAACAGGGTACAGGAGGAGAGGAAACGGCCTCCAGCTGTGCCAGGGGAGGGTCAGATTGGACATCAGGAGGAATTTCTTCATGGAAAGGGCTGTTAGGCCTTGGAAGGGGCTGCTCAGGGAGGTGATGGATCCCCATCCCTGGAGGTGTCCCAGCAGTGCCTGCACGTGGCACTCGGCGCTCTGGCCCGGGGGACAAGGCGGGGATGGGTCACAGCGTGGACTCGATGATCCGGGAGGGCTTTTCCCACCCAAATCACGCCGCCATCAGTTGGAGCCGCGCCGCTGCCCCGCCCCGGCCGCTCACCCGCGCGCCCTGCCCGCGGCACCGCAGGACCCGCCAACCATAAAACCAACGCGCGCGCCTTCGCGCCCGCCCGCGCCGCTCCCCGCCGGCGCGCAGGCGCGGCGTGACCCGGATGTGGCGCGTGCGCGGCGGGGCCCGGACGTGTCGGGGCGGCCGCGACAGCGACACAACAACGACGCGCGCCGGGAGCGGCGGCGGGGACAGCGGGCACCGCG